AATAAGTACACTAACAAAATGAGTAATCGCAGCTCTGGGAAGGGTGGGTAGACAGCCAGAAGACAGCTTACTGCCCTCGCCGCCCAGGAAAGTTTGATTGGGGCATGCCTGCAAAACTGCACGTGTGGATTGGGATTTTCTGGACTGCAGTGTGTGGAGAGGAGAGCTGAAGATTAGGCAGGGGGAAGCTGCCACATCTGCTCTGATAGCTGCCTTGTATGGAGCACCATCCAACAGTAAGTAGCCAATCCTTGAAGCTTACGTGTATGGCACGTCCTCTAGGCAGGATAGTTTCTTTGATACTCTTTTGTGGCCAGAGGGCATGTGCACTTGCCAGAGAAAGAAAGAGAAAGCCCTCTTGGGACCAGCAGATGGCATAATGGCTGCGTCACTGGACTCCCATGTAGTCGACCACGGTTCGAGTCCCAGACCTGGTGACTTAAACATACTGGACGTGTGTACGTGTATGCCCAAGATCCCAAGAGGAGAATAGAGAAGGGATTGCGGCATGGCCATCCCCCCTTGGGAGTCATTTCTCGCTTTCTGTCTCTCTGTCTTTCTGGTGAGCATATGCACCCTGTAGCTAAAACTTCCAGAAAAGAAAGAAAAAGTCCCCTGTGGACTGTGGTCATACTGCAGTCTCTTGTCCCTTTTCTTCCCTTTTCCTTCATTTCATCAAAATTTGAACCACACATGTAATACACCTTGCATTGTTTTAAGGATTTTGTCATAGGGCGCATACACTCATTGGAGAGAGACACAGAGAGGGGTGATTGCCCCGAGGGGATGGCCGTGCAGCAATCCTTGCTCCATTTCCTCTGGGAGTTTCGGGCATGCACACTCAGCACGCTTTCAAGCCACAGGATGGGCTTTCAAGTCCTGATGGGCCATGTGGAAGTCCAGCACCTTAACCATCATGGCACCTGCTAGCCCCCATTTGGCATGGTTTTGAGTGTTTTTCAAGCCTCCAAGATGACGATTCAACCATTGCCAGCCACGTGGGTCCTACTCCCAATGCACAGCACCTAACCACTGTGATGCGGGCCAGCCCTAAATCATTTCACTTCACTATGAAATTTATATTTATATTAAATGGTTTAAAGGATTTAAGAAAAGAGAAAGGAGGCCAACAGATGATGTAGCAGTTACGTCACTGAACTCCCACATGGTCAACCACGGTTCAAGTCCCAGACCCAGTGGCTTGAAAATCACGCCAGGCACATGTGCTTATGTGCCCAAGATCCCAGGATGAGAAAGGATTGCAGGGTGGCCATCCGTCCCCTGAAGGGGATTTCTCACTTTCCTTCTCACTGTCTCTCTCTCTCCCCAGTGAGCGCATGCACCCTAAGGCATAAACCTCTCAAAAAAGAAAAAGAAAGAAAAGGGAGGGAACGGCACTTAGGCCACAGGCCAGGGGCAACTGAGTGTGCTCGCTTCCTCACTGGCAGGCCATGGACAGGGATAACGGGAGAGCATCTGAGGTGGGAGGACGTGGCGGGCCAGGGCAGCCACACCCTCCCTGAGGCGAGACAGCCGCTGGTCTGCAGGCGAATTCTGCCTGCCCCAGCCTCCCCTCCATTCTGGCATTCCCGCAGGACCCCTTGGGAATGCACCTGCTCAGACTTTCCAGGAGTGAGACTTCAGGTCAGCAGCCCCAGAGAGCAAGGAGGCACTAAAGCTTCACTAGTGGTCCCCTGGGAGCCACCTGCCACCCCTGCACACTCTGCCAGGCCGAGCCGCCCCTGCTGACACACGGTGACACTCCAGGGAAACCTGCAGAACAGCGACCTGCTCTGAGTGCAGGCAGAGTGGGCCAGCACAGCAAGAATGAGGGTGTGCTGGCTGGTACACCGGGCACCCCACCAAGTGGCTGTCGATAGGCCTGTGTTGTCATCCCCGTTTCATAAATGAAGACAGTGTCCCTGACAAACATGTCTGTGGTCAGAACACTGAGAATGGCCCAGCTGGGGATTCGAACCTGGTTCTGACGCCTAAGTCCAGGGTCCCTCAGCTGCATCGCCCCCTTCCCTCTGCTGTACCTGCAGGTGCCTGCCCAGGGTAGAGAGGGGCCATTGGGAGGGCTCGCGACATTGCCAGTGCAGAAGGCCTGGGATTGCTTCTCCCCTTCCTCCCCCTTCTGGAGAGGCTGGGGCTGACGGCTTAGGACTAGTGCTAGACTTTTAGGTTTTTCGCCATCAGGCATGTGTACTTGCTAGAGAAAGACAGAGAAAGTAAGTCACCCCCCAGGGTATTGACCGCACTGCACTCCCTTCTCTACTCTGTGGGTTCTTGGCACACACGCACACGTACCCTGCGTCATTTTCAAGCTGCTGGGGCTGGGACTTGGGCCCCAGTTGGCCATGTGGGAGTCTAGCTCCTTAACCACCTTGCCACTTGCTGGCACTGAACTAGTACTAGACTTTAAGAGAGATTAGAAGGGACCAGCAGTTAGCGTAATGGCTATGTCGCTGGTCTCCTATGTAGTCGACTACAGTTTGAGTCCCGGACCTAGTGGCTTAAACTCACACCAGGCACGTGAGTGTACGTGCCCAAGATTCCAAGAGGAGAACAGAGGAGAAGGGATTGTGGCGTAGCCATCCCCCCGGGGATGATTTCTCGCTTTCTATCTCTCTGTCTCCCTCTCTTTCTGGCGAGTAAACGCGCCCTATAGTGAAAACCTCTCCAAAAAAAGAGAAAGAGATTAGAAGTGAGGGGAGCCCAGTCACTTCTGGGGGCTCAGCCTTCCTGAGAGAGAGAAGACAAGCAACAGGTAGAGGGGCAGGTACATATCAAATGGCAGGTGCAGCCAGCCGGAGCCTCCGCAGCCTTGTATCACCCAGGAGTCCAGGGAGGGGCAGAGCCCAGTGAAGTGTGGTTCTAGCCCAGAATGGGGCCTTGGTGGTGGGGAGTAGTGAGCACGGCCACAAAGCCCTGCTCTCAGCCTGAACCTTTTTTTTAAAGAAAGATTTTTGCTGTAGGATGCATGTGCTCACCAGAGAGACAGAGAGCCACGTTGATCGCCCGAGAATGAACCTAGCCATCCACTCAGACAGATTTGGTCCTATGAGAGAGAGAATCATTCCCATGAGGAAATAAAGACTACTTAATTATGAGGGGATCCTGAAAGGATTCACGGAAAATGTGTATTATGAAAAACTAGGCGTGGATTTCAAATTTCGTTTGCACCCAAGGAAACTCATATGTTAATTCCATCAGTTCCACAGCTTTTTGAAGTCTCCTCGTGCTAGGGCCATGTGTCTCAGCCCAGGATGACAGCCCGGGGTGAAATGCTGAGAAGGATTTCCAGGTCGAGCTCCAGCCCAGCTGGGAGGAGTCCTGCCGCTAGGGGAGAAGGGGAAGGCGGCCCTGGCACCACGTGTTGTTTTAAATACCGGAGCCTTAGTTTATGGAACACATATTAAAGCAGGAGACAGTCGTGTGTGTGGGTGTCTGAGCAGGCCCACTAGGAACCTGCTTCATCCATCTCAAATGAAGAATTTACCCTCTGGACCCGGCTCCCTGGCCTGGCGGCCAAGGCTGCAGGATCTCACATGACCTACCAAGTTGAAATTGTGGCCTGGTGGCTAGAAAAACACCAGGCAGAAGAATGGAGGAGAAGGGATTGTAGCGGACATGACACTGCCGCACTGGGGGGTGCTGTGGCTGTCTCTCTCTCTCTCTGTGTCTCTCTCTCTGGTGAGTGCACCTGCCCTCTAACAAACAACAAAAAAGCAAGCAGCAGCCCAGTCTCTCTGGCCAAACTCTTAGGTCATGGGGAAAGTCACGACGTATTTTACACGTATTCTCTGTGTAAAATGCATCATGTCTTTCCCAGTAACCCTATACCTTTTTCATTCTTCCATGTTCACCAAGAATAGAAATGGTACATGTGTGTGCAGTCTCCGAGAACTGGGACGTATTTGGGGCAAGGCAGCTCCTCTCCTACCCGAGTCCAAAGGCCTATTTCCTGGGAAACAACTGGCCGTGGACTGTGTGGCCAATGAGATGTGTGTGAGCGCTTCCAGGAGAGCTTTCTAATGAGTCCTCTTCTCTGCTTGGAATGTGGATGCGATGGCTGGAATACTAACATCCACTTTCGAATGTGAGGCAATTTGAAGAGGAAAACCATGAACTGAGATGACATCCCTGTAAGCTGCTTTCCCGTGAGCGAAAACACTAAACTAGACGAGCCTCTGCTGTTTTGAATTCCCAAGTTATATGCAGCCACATCTGACCCTGATCTGGCCAAGATCTGATATTCGGTAAGAGATGTATGTATTCGTGTTGACGTTTTCAGTGATTGGCCCCTGGTAACAAGGACTCTGACCCAGAATGGAGGGGCAGTCGTTACATTTTTTTCCCTATCATGGGATCCAGGATGGAGTGGAAAGGAGGAGGCTCTGGGCCAAGGTAAAACATTGATGGCAGAGGAGAATCGTTTACCCAGAAGGCAGATCAGTCTACATGGGGGATCAGGGAAGTGTCTGGTGTGTGACTTCAGAGCAGCACCCCATCAGTAGTCCCAGGCCTGGAGCCAAAGGGTCCTG